TATTTTATAAAGACTCCAACTCTTAATACTACCCTTTTGGTGGTTAGGTTTCAATATATGAATTTTGGGGAATACTTTCTGACTATATCATTTGATGGACCCCTGTGTTTCATGAATTTTCCTCTTTAGGTCTTGCCAGAGAGTGGGGTCATGGGGAAAAGGGTCAAGTGTAGTAGCACAATTTGAATATTCCCTCTATACAGCTCAACCAACTGAATTTTCCTCAAGTACTTTCAACACTGAAAGTACTTGGGGAAAATTTTGCATTTGTACTGTGTACTGACTTTTCTTTTTTTCTATTGTTTAGTGGTACTGGGGATTGTATTCAGGGCCTCATGCTTTCTGGGCAAGTGTTCTACCACTTGAGTCATACCCTAGACCTTTGCTTTTAGGTTTGTTTGCTTTGTTTTTTTTTAAATAGGGTCTTGTGCTAACTTTGCCCAGACTGGCTTTGAACCATAATCCCCTTGTCTCAATCTCCTGAGTAGCTGGGATTACAGGCATGTGACACTATGGCCAGCCAGACTTTTCTTTTTTTGTCAGTACTCCTTAAATTATACCCTATAGCAATCATTTATACAGCATTTAAATTTTATTAGTTATTCTAAGTAATGTTAAATTATATGGAAGGATATGTATAGGCAATGTACAATACTATGTCATTTTATAAAAGGGACTTTGGCACCCATGGATTTTGGTATCAATGAGCTATCTTCACAAAGGGAAAATTGCAGTGCCATTCAAGACTACAGATAGGAAGACCCTATATTTCACTGGTTTTTTTATTCACTTTAAGAAGTTCAGATAATTAAACACTGATAACTATGTGGTAAGAGATGTTTGGCCATCTTTCATAAGAATTTATTAGGCCTGTTTCTTACTAGACCCTGGAATTAGTTACTAAATTGCTTTTACACAGCTGTGGACCTGGGCACATCCACCTACTATGAAATTCTGTTTCCATAAGGGTATTAGCTCTATAGCCAGATGAATGGTGAGTAAGCTAAAGGGAAGCCATGAATAAAGCTTATAAAATACGTACATTTTTTTTCTCTAAGTCACATCACAAACCTTCCTGAGCATAGGAACATTAGACAGCATTTTAGTACTATAGTTGGGGGTCCATTTCACACAGCAAAATCACCAACAAAAAGCACAAAAATACAAAAAACGTGGCATTGAATAGACGATGAAAGTAATACTTGTTTACAGTATGAAAACTGAAACAAGAAGGCAGAGTATTGTCTTGTTTGACCTGAACTGGGAACATGTGCATTGAACAATTGAAAATTTTCAAAATTCTTCACATGGCTGTGAATGACTATGAAAGACCCTAAGTATTGATTTTGTAGTTACAAACAACTTTTAACAAGTAGGCAAATTGACAAATACAGAATCTATGAATAATGAAGGTCAACTGCATTCTTTTTTTTATGTCCCGACTTACTAAATGATACAACTATCAAACCATTTACCTACATTAGAAATGTTGTACAAGCCTTCCTTTCTTCCCATCTTTTATTGCTCATCTCCTATTATGTACCTCCTTTGATATGCCTTGGATTCTGATTGGCAATTTTGAGCCTAATTTTCCTTCTTCACCCTAGTTTCTACACTACAGTGTCCAAAATTTGTAAAATCTTCATTGTCATTAGAACTGATGTTTAAATAACTTAATTTACATAGCCTTCCAGTCTTACTGCTTATTATCTCCAGACATGGAGAACGTCTTTCAAACATATGGGATATGTGATTCCTCTTATCTTTTGAGTCTTTGTCTCTACTAGGAGCATTCTTTCCCTTTCTCTTTACCTAGCTTACTCTTCTGACTTATTTTTTACTTAGGAGATTAAATTTTTTTTCCAGAGAAGCCTTTTTTGACAGTCTGTTAATCCAATAAACACACACACATACACACATACACACACACACACACACACACACACACACACAAAGACACCCCACCACTCTAATCAATTGCTTGTTTACTTGCCAGTCTTCCACTGTACAATATAAATTCAGTGAAGATAGAGACCATTCTCAGTACCTACAGTTTAATATGTATCAAGTGATTTTTTTCTGTGATGTGTGTTAATACAAACCTTTATAACATTATAAAAGTGCATAAAGTAAGGGAAAAACAAGCTTTCATTTGCCTGCCTGGTGTTTTATACTCATGTGCTTATGCCTTCAACACTTCTATTTTTATTTATATTTTTTCACTATTAGTGATTGAGAGATCTTTGGTGTTGAAGTGAAACCTCTGTCATTTATCTAGTGACCTATTTGTGAAGAGAAAGGCAGACACTTTACCAGTTATTCAACTGGCCTGGTCAAATGTCTACTTCTCAAATTTCACCTTTATGTTTTGATTTGACAAAATTGGCAGAGGGAATAGAATAATTAAAGGTGAATTTATTTAGCAGACACCAGGAAAATCCAACTTGTTGTGGTAAATGGGGAAGTCAAGCTTATTACATATTGGTCATTTCTTCTGTTTTTATTCTGTTGTAGGAATATTTGAAAGGCAAATCCATATCCAATTTGGAATTAAGTAGAGGTTCATGATTTAGTTTTTATATAGAATATTGTCTCACATATTTTCTATCACTTACAAAAAAGAATCAAATTACTGTCTTAAGGTCTAATTAGAAAGAAAGCTTTCCCTAAATTCTCAGGTAAGTATATCTTGGCTCCAAAACATGTTGAATGTGTAATGTCACATTATAGTAATAAAGGTCCTTTAGGTCTGTTAACCTTAAAATGAAAAGCCCTTCAGTGTATACAGAATATAATTGACATTAATAATCTCACTATGCTATGAAATGGTGACAGCAGGGAATAACTTTAACAAACCAAATAGAAGTTTCCCCTTATTTCTGAAACAGAATCAATTCCTTCCTCATTAACTTACAGAGAAAGAAAGTCCTGAAATAGTTGTCCTAATATTTGATTTCATTTTATAGGTAGGAAAACCTAAGTGTATACAGCTATAATCACTGCAGCATTTGAAGACCTTTGTTTTTAAGCTTCACCAGCACGTAACAAACCATGGCCCATTGGCCACATCCAGCTTGCTGCTTGTGTCTCTCTGGACCATGAACTGAAAATGGTTTTTACCAGATAGACTTTTACCTAACATTTCTTGACAGGTGAAAATTACATGAAATTCTAATTTGAGTTTCTACAAGTGACGCAACCACTTACTCATTTATGTGTTGTATAGCAGCAGAGCACTGCCGACTAGTTGCTCACCTAAAATATTTACTATCCAGAATTTTACAGAAAATGTTTGCCAGCTCCTGACATACATTAGTGTATTTTGCATGATTTGATTTAGTAATTAAAGTTAATTTTGTCAATGCAGAGCCAATTTAGTAATATAACAAGGAAACATGTTGAATAAAGTTCTTCAAATTTAAGGAAATTGAACTAGGTTATTGTATGAACTAGATATTGCAATAGGTGGGTAGGGCTTTCATTTTTATTATTGATTTCATTCTATAAAATAAACACCTGTGTAACGTTTACACTTGCATATTTTTTAGCAGACACTGTTCTAAAAGCTTTTTACTCTTCTAAATTCTCATAATAATCTTGTGCAGTTGGCACCCCTATAAATGAGAAAGCCACAGCACAAGTGAAAGTTAAATAAATAGTGGGACTTAAATTAGTGGAAGGGAAGTTATACAGCTATATATATAGCAATTACCCAGTCAGTAAAGGGTAGAGTCACAATTTGACTAATTGCCTGATTACAAAATCAGTATTCTTTACCTCTATGGCATTCTTTCTTTCCCTTTTTACTTTTGCTTATGTAGAAAAGTCTTAAATTATGAAGAGGATTTTGTCAAAAGTGGGGCATGATATTTTAAAGACTTTGAGCTTATATTAGTTTTGTAGAGTTGCCATAACAAAGTACTACAGACTAGGTATCTTAAAACAACAAAAATTTATTCTGTCCCATTTTGGGAGGCATGAAGTACAAATTCAAAGCATCAGAAAAGTTGTACTCCCTTTCATATTCTGGGAATAATTCTTCCTTACCTCCTTCTAGCTTTAGTTGGTGACCAGCAATACTTGGTGTGGTGGTGTCTGGCTTGCAGCTGCATCGTTCCAATCTCTACTACCTTCATCCCATGTTCTCTCTCTCTCTCTCTCTTTGTGTGTTTTTGATTTTGTATAAAGGCCAACCCTGCATCAGCATGAGGACATTATAATTTAGCTAATTACATTTATAATGGTGCTGTTTCCTACTCAGTTCACTTTCTGACATTGTGGGAAAGACATGGATTTTGGGGAGACACTGTTCAACCCACTACAGAGCTTATGAGTTTAAATGCATGCACTAGATATTGTTCTCTGGGGATCTTCTCATGTTAATCTCAGAAACCTTAAATGTGAAGTGTAAATTGGGTACCAGAAATATTCAGGGCTTTGTTTTTTCTCTCTCTCTCTCTCTCCCTCTCTCTCCCCCTCTCCCTCTCTCTTTCTCTTTTTAGTTGAATTCTGTTCTACATTATATTTTGTTCAGAAAGAATGATTTACCATTCTCAGTTTTGCCTTTTCCCCATTTACTTTTGGTCCTTTGCTTATGATTCATTTGAAAGCTGGTTTTCATTCTGGGCATTTTGCTTCTGGATTGTTTTGTAAGTTTTTTAAGGAACATTTTCTTACCTATTATTATAACCTGTGGGGTGGTTGTATTGCCTTCAGTTTTGTGAATTCGTGATCATCGACTCAGAAATCAGCTTTGGTGTTTTGGTAATTTTATTGAAAAGGTCTTTTATATCCATCCTTATGGTGATTATGAGTAAGGATGGATAAATGGCAATAGTTATTTTTATTTATATTTATTTTTTATGATTATTATTATTGTTGAAATAGATTTTAAGAAATGTGGTACTGCATGAAATTCTAGACTCAGAACTTTCTCTTTTCCCTTTAACTCCACAATTGGTCCAATTCTCTTAACTTATTTCCTTTTACATATTTTACAGGGTGCCCGAGAAACATTTGAGAACTATTACCGAAAACAGAGGCGGAAACAGGCTCGTTTGGTACTCCAGCCTCCATCTAACATGGTAGGTAGTATTACCACCTACACTTTCTGTGTTTTCCCTTTCTTTCTCAGGTATCTTTTGAGTGTGTGTGTGGTTACTGTCATTCTGAGACAACTTTTTTTGTTGTTGTTGGGACTGGGGTTTGATCTCAGGACTTTGTGCTTGCAAAGCAGGTGCTCTACCATTTGAGCCATACTTTAGTCCCTCAGACAATTTTTGATATGTGTTACAGTAAGAATAGTAGCTAATATGTTTTAATTGGTATGTGTCAGCCATTGTTCTATGTACTAGATATTTATTATCTCATTTTATCCTCACCGTAATCATAAGGTAGGTACTGTTATTGTATTTACTTTGTAGTTTAAGGAACTTCTGCTTCAAGAAGTTAAAATGATTTTAATGTTGTCTTAATGTATCAAAACAGAAAAAATAATTTTCTCCTTCTTGTTGTAGCATGAAACTTTAGATGGCTACAGGAAGTATTTTAATCAAATTGTAGGGTAAGTATATATATATATATATATATATATATGCATATATATATGTATTAAATTTATATACTTGCAGTTCAATACCTGGACTTGAGAAACTTGCAAAAATAAATAAGGTTTCCTTGAGAAATTATTTTTTAATTCTTAAGAGAAAATTTATTATTATTATTTTATAATATAAAAGGAATAGCCTGTTGCTTTCAACACTATATTCTTAGAGGATACTTTTTGTGGATACAGAAAGAAAAACATTAATTTATAATCTTATTACACTTGATGCTTTTTTTCTCTATTCTTGGTTCCAGTATGGAGCCAAATAATCAGCAAAGTTGGCAAACTTTTTCTAAAAGTACCAGATAGTAAAGTATTTTGGGCTTAGCAGGCCATATGAACTCTGTCTCAACTATTTGACTTTGTCATAGTCTGAAAGCAGCTATATACAATACATAAATGAGTGAGCATGGCTGTGTGCCAGTAAAACAATCTTCATGAAAACAGGCAGTGGGCCAGGTTTATCCAGTGGGCTATAGTTTGCTACCCCTATGCCAAGTACAGATAGTAGTATGAAGTTGTAATTCCCAATAAAGATCCAAATAACAGGCAGCTTGTTGTAATTGTAAAATGATGACTGTTGTTAAAAGAATGGGAAATAAGTTGGATTTTTCAATTGTTTCTTTCTTTCTCTTTTAAAATCAGATTTTGATTGTTTTAGTCTAATTAATAATTTTGATTAAAATATATCATAAGAATTTCCTAATAAAGATTATCTTAACTAGCATAAACATTTAGGCAAGATAATTGAAGGGACATTTTAGATGCATAATAACCAAAAGCTACAACAAGGATGTTGAAAAATAAGTTTGTATTTTTTCATAAAACCTCTATACGTTACATTTTTCTTCACTTTGTTGAGAAAGTCTACATAAGGGGAATTATTTTGATATGTTTTGCTTTTGGTTGTTAAAAATATATATGTTTCAGCTTTAAAATCTATTACTTTCTTGAAGTGTATTGACATCCTGTTTTTAAAAGTATATTGAAATTAGCCTTCATTAGCTATATACATTTCCCCCTTTTAATTAGCTGGATAACATAGTTAACATTAATTGAAATGTAACTCCATTTTCTGTCGATGTGGTTCAGAATATATGATCATAGACATAATTATTAGTCTAAATAGTAATTTCATTTATGATACTGAGTAGTTTTTTTTAAAGAAAAAATGAATATTAACTGAATTTGATGGCAGCTCTTACTGTTTGTTAAAACCTGGAGGTAGTAATCAAAGTGCAATTTCTGAGTGTCGTGCTTTCTTTTTTCTTCAATCTTAGATTTTTTGTGGTTGAAGATCACATTTTACATACAACCCAGGGCTTAGTAAATAGAGCATACATTGATGAGCTGTGGGAAATGGCACTTTCAAAAACCATTGCAGCACTCCGTACTCACTCGGTATGTAAGAAGCCCCAGAAGCGTTCTTACTTAGAGCTGATTGCCAATATATTATGTATTATTTCTGTGTTTTAAAATTAACATGTGTGAATATGGAAACAAGCATTTGGAACTGTATACGTTCTTCAAAGGCGTAGAGAAGTAGACCATTCAAATTTCCATATTCTCCAACACTGAGCTAACTTTTGAGAATGCTCTTTGCAATCAGAAAACAGTAGCTAATATCTGAACATTATTCATTATGTGTCAAGAATTGTTCTGTGTATCTTATATACTTTGTCATTTTACCCTCATGCAATAATATAAAGACAGGTATTATTATTATAATATTTAATTTATAATCTAGGGTACGACCTCAGAGAGATTAGGTAACTAGTCTTACATCTTCTAAGAGATGGAACCTGGATTTAAATCCAGATAGAGTCCATGTTCTTAGTTACTACTCTGTATTGTCTTCTATATTCCTATAATGTCATAAACACTGATTTGGAGGTCAATGTTTTACTAAAAGAAAGGTTATATGAAGTAGCCTAATTAGCAATTCCCACATTATCAATTGGTATGTTTTAATATAGCATGATTTTTTTGTGATACTCCACTTTAGTTCATGTAGAGAATGCTGCTTCTGAACTAATTATTCATTCAATTAGATGGATAAAAGCTATTTAATGAAAATTTGAGAACGTTAAGTTGTCTTACTAACTCCTTGAATACTTACTAAAAGCCCTTGCACTGCTTCCTCTAATTTATGCCAAAAATGATCATTTCATTGATCTTTGCATAAGTGGTGACTTCCTTAGCCTATCAATTTAATTTATTGCCAATCAAAATCTCAATAGTTTTATTATGGGGGATAGGTGTCTTATAACCTGATGTATAATATTTTAAAGCTACTACAAGAGCCTAGAGCAAGTAAGAGCTTTAAAACTGCTTTAAAAAATAAAGGCTATTAATTAAAGATACAAACAAATGAAAAACTAAGGAAGACATGGAAGTGATTATCATCAAAGTCAGAATGTTGTTTTTCTGAGAAAGGAGGGATGGAGTTGTGATTAGAGCATCCGAGAAGAACTCTGTTTAGCTCTTCCCTAGCTCACTGTGGTAGGTACCTTGTATCATGAAAGGATTGGACGCTTCCTTTAAGAGCCTTTACCAGCTAGAACATTAAAACAGTTTAATAACTGAAAATTCAGTTGTATTTTTCCCTTTGTTTTTCCTTTCCTTTAGTCTTACTGCTCTGATCCAAACCTTGTGTTAGATTTGAAGAACCTTATTGTGCTGTTTGCTGACACGCTTCAGGTACGTGAGTTGTTTACATCTGTCCATCTACATTAGTATTTCATCAGCTCTAAATCTTTACATTGTCTCCCTAAGCTTGGGTAACTGCTTTTTAGACTTTAGTTATTTATTCTTTTCCTCGAAGTAGATATTTTCATCTCTTTATTTATTTAAAAAAATTTTTTTTAATTTATATGTACATACAATGTTTGGGTCATTCCCCCCCTCCCCCGTTTCATCTCTTTATAGCTTTGCCAGGGTTTCACCTTGACTCTTTCTGTTGTCACAAATACTTCCTACCTCCGTTTGTTCTCCTTGCAGAGCAGATCAACTAATTGAACCACTTGGTCTGTTAATTTTTCCAAATGTTCTTAATTTGGATATGGCATCAAAGTGATTTTGTAGTTTGTTTCACTACTGATGTGAAGATGGTTGATTTTAACTATGTATTATATCCAATGGAGTGCTGTCATATATGGGTGAAATTGGCAGCATCTTCACTTTCTTTCCTTCCTCTGAAGGCTGCTAGAGCAGTAAATTACTGCAGGAGTTGTGGGATTGGGTGGGGGGGCACTTAGCTAACAGAATATATTGATTTTCATTTTTCTTTTTCTGACTATTTTAGGCATTTTAATCTTTATCTTTTAATTCATGAGAAATAAAAACTAGATATTAGGTGGGAATGAAAGACTCTACCATCATTGTTTCATTTAAAATGTTGTTAAAAGAACAAAATATCTTTCATTGCCTAATCTCTTTATGTTATTAAAAAGTATAGTCACCATAGAAGATGAAGATACTTTCTTTCAGGTGTATGGTTTTCCTGTAAATCAACTTTTTGACATGCTGTTAGAAATAAGAGACCAATATAGTGAAACTCTGCTGAAGAAGTGGGCAGGTATTTTCAGGTGAGAAATTGTTGTGATGTGTATATGTCCATGTGCCTATGTGTACACACATTTTTATGTACATGTTTTTCTGATGTAACAAGTATTAAGAACACATGGCTTCTATTTTCCTACTTTTTAAGTGATCCTGCCTTTTGTATGATGTCTTCCCACATCAGCTTATCCTGTTTTTAAAGTCTTCTAGTTTTAAGCTCTTAACCGATTTTTAAAATTTTACTCTTCATAGTTGATGATCTTTAATCGTCACTTAGTTCAACTCATCTGTACATTTATGTAAATATTTGCATTTCTAGAACCCAGATTTGTCTAATGGCGATAATCCTTCTTAAGGACTATTGTTCTTGAAAATTTGTAACCTGATATATCTACAGTGTTAGGTGCCTTCAGTGAATTTTTGCTCTGATATTGGTAGGATAGTTTCTGGTTTTAGAGAGCCCCTAGTCTAGTTAAGAAGGGAGAATGTATAGATGAAATAAAGTTGTGATTAGTACAGATCAGTAGATGAAGTAAATGAACATACTTTGGATTTATTATAGAAGTTACTTTTCCTATCTGCAAATTCAGATTTAATTAGAATATTTAGTATAGGATTAAAAACATAATTATAATCAAATATATCTTACTAAAACAAATAGAAATAACTCTTTGTCATGTGTCTAGAGTATACATTTTTTTGTTGTTTACTTCTCACTTGCCTTTAAAATTTGTGTGCCATTTGTAAATCATACTAGGTGATCATATTTATAATGGTGTCCTATTTATTTCAGAGTATAGTTTCCTTTCTGGCTCCCCCAAACTAAATAGCTGCATTGTAGAAGGAATATAGTAGACTAGGAAATGTTCATTTGAAGTTGTAGTATATATACAATCATTAGAGTTAGAATTTTTGTGTTTGTGTTTAACACATCATCTTCATCTCTGTGTCCCTTCCTTTCTTCCCTCTCTTCTATAATTATTTTTTATAGAAATATACTTGATTCTGACAACTATAGTCCCATACCAGTAACATGTGAAGAAATGTACAAAAAGGTGGTAGGACAGTTCCCATTCCAAGATACAGAGTTGGAAAAGGTAAGGAATACTTTAAAATAATCTTCTTTGGTTGTTTTGGCATCCCCTGGATCAGCTTCATTAGATCAGTTTCATTGAAACTGATAACCTGCAGCTCATTAGATTAGGTTTATAAAACACTTTTAAAGGTCTCATTTTGTGTCTCAGAATAGAATTTCCTGATTTGGGGATCAGTAGATGGCCCTGGGGTCCTATCTACTATCACCTCTGAAGGGTTTTGAAAGATTTCTGAGGATGTTCCAATTTGTTTACATTTTGACATACTTTTGAAAATTTTACTCTTTAAGACAGTTTCTCCCAAAAATATATAGTAAAAGTTACCCTTTTGGGTATATAGTTCTGTTAATTTTGAAAATGCATTGAGTCATGTATCTACTACCACAATAATAATAAAGTCCAGTTCCATCACCCCCAATTTTCCTTCTGCTGCCCCTTTATAATCAGTCCCCCTTCTCCAATCTTTAGTCCTGGAATGCATCAATTTAGTTTCCATCTACTTTTGCCTCACCTGGAGGACCATAAACTTAGGCCCAGACTGTATATAACCTTTCGATACTGACTTTTTGACTATCATGATGCCTTTGAGATGAATCCAAGTTGTTAAACATATCAGTAGTTCATTCCTTTGTACTGAATATGTACCATAATCTGTTTGGCCCTTCGCATGTTGAAGAGCACTTACATTTTTGTTTGTTTTATTTAAATTTGTGTCTTTTTTTTTTTTTTTTTTTTTGGCAGTACTTGGTTTTGAACTGAGGGCTTTGAGCTTGCAAGGCAGGTTACACATGAGCCACCCTAACCCTTTTTGCCGAGGTTATTTTTGACATAGGGTCTAGCTTTTTGCCTGGGACAGCCTGGACCACAATCCTCCTATTTATGCTTCCTACAGCAGCTGGAATGACACCTAGATTTTTCTGTTGAGACAGGGCCTCATGAACGGGGCTGGCCTGGAACTGTGATCCTTCTGATCTCAGCCTCCTAAATAGCTAGGGTGACAGGTGCTCACTACCATGTCCAGACATTGGTTGAGATGGGATCTCATGAACTTTTCTTTTTGGCCTGGGTTGACCTCGAACTGTGATCCTCCTAATCTCTTCCTTCCAGGTAGCTAGGATTACAGGCACAAGCCAGCAAGGTGATTGTAGGAGACATTTTTTTAAAATTTCAAGCTGTCATGCAGGTAGTTCACAATGTGGAAGAAAGTTCCCTTTGCATTTTTATATAAAGGTATATTCAAGGTATATTTGTTTGTGACTTCCTTTCATTAATTCTTTCATTTACAGCAATCGTTCCCAAAAAAGTTTCCTTTCTCTGAATTTGTGCCTAAAGTTTACAACCAGATTAAAGAATTTATTTATGCCTGTCTGAAGTTTTCGGAAGATCTTCATCTAAGGTATAATATGAAACAGTAGAAATAAAACCAGTGCTAAGATTGTGACTATAAATATTCTGAAATACTTTGTGTGTGTGTGTGTGTGTGTGTGTGTGTGTGTGTGTCTATGTGTGTGTGTCTGTGTGAGTTTTATTGGGGATTGAACCCAGGGATTCACACATGCTAGGCAAGCTCTCTCCCCCTTGAGCCTTTTGTTTTCTTTTTCTTTTTTTTCTGAGATAGGGTCTTGATAACTTTGCTTAGTCTGGTATTGAACTTGTGATCCTACTGTCTCTGTCTTCTGAGTAACTGGAATTATAGTTGTACACCAGCATTCCTGGTTTTGAAAAACTTAATATTCCTTCAGCTGTGATTTTGAAAGTCTTCACTATATGGCATGCTTTATTTTTACAGTCATGATGAAAGGGAAAGATGGTCACTTTTAAACAATTTTTAAAAATTTGTATTACCTATCTAATTCAGTCCTATTTTCTTTGCATTTTTAGCACTTCCTATTAATGCGAATTTACTGGAAAATTGTAGTTTAATGTATTTTAACAATCTACTTGATGAAATTTTAAGGCCAAGGGGAGTAGCAAATAAACTCCTTTGGAAACATTATTGCTTCTGTAGGTGCTAAATTCAAAGCTTCTTTATTTCTTTGCTCATTTATTAGTTTATTCATCATACATTATTGATAATCTTTCATTTTTTAGGTGCTGTTTGGTAGTAAAGACAATAGGATGCTAAAAATACAATCTGTGTCTTTAAGGATTATCTAATCTAACTGAGGAAATACACAATGGATGCTAAGTGCTGGAAATAAATAGGACTAATCTAGGAGCCAACCCTGACTTTAATTTAGGTTGTTCAGACAAACCTCTTGTAGGGTAGAAACATTTTTATCTTTTTAGTGGAGTATCTTCTGTACCCAACTGAATAAATTTTAAAAAAATGAATGAATGAATTAATGGAAAAACATGGTATTCCAGGCTACTCTGGAACGTAATTAGGAACTAGCGTGAGTCCTTTATTTTATAACTATTCTGATTGTGAAAAATGGAACATAGGGTTTGTTTAATTAATTTGTTGTTTTTCTCATAAGTCAGATTAATTTCATAAAAAGTTTTTGTTAAAATGAGACTATCTTTGAAAGGTACAGGCCCAAACATTCCCCATCACCCTAGGGATCCCATCTACCATCAGTAGCCCCACCCCCATCTCAATTGACAAGATTACCACAGATCAGAGAATGATCTATAGGCTTTTACTAAGTAAGTTGCTGTTGATGGCCATCCCACCCTGAATGCACCTGATCTCATCTAAGTAAGTTGCTATACATAATTGACCTTTCATGACTTATTGCTTGAAGGAAAGGTACTATGGTAAGGGGATATGAGTAAATTGTTGAGCTACCCTTTTCTTTCTTGAATATAATATTAAGTTTTTGCCTGAAAACTCCTTTTGATATGTTTTAGCTTGACAACTTAAGTTAAATATTCAACTTGGGGGAATTTTGCAGCTGCTTTTTACTGTTTGGTTGACATTTATCTTTTATCCTAAAGTGTGTTTACCTTATAACCTGGAGTGGCAGAGATTAGTTGTTTTAGGATGAGGGTTAATACAGCATATGAGACAATATGTATAAAAACAATTAGTTCTCTTAAACACAAGGCTCTCAAAGCAAGAGATTTTTATGTAGGCTTAAGGATAATTATTCTCTTAAATGAAACTTAACTTTTTCTTTCTTGAAAGAATTTTCTCTCTTTCATTGGACAGCTATACTGAAAATCATTATAAATAATGAAAAATATGTAATTGCATGAATTATGAGGATACAAAATTCTTTTTTTTTGAATGGCAGCCAAATGGCATTCTTATGATAAAGTAATTTTCTAGCATTTGCACTTGATTTAAAAAATGGAGTACACACATAATCTTTTTACCATTATGAAACTAGATCTTTGTAAATAATTTAGGGCATATAGAATAGCACAAAAAAGAAGAACATAAAGAATCCCAAGCTGTACAACAAACTAATTTTACTCTTTATATTTGGGAGGTTATTTTCTCTTTTAGTTTTTCTTGTATGTGAAATGTATACATACGTAGCAGTTTTTGAAGAAGAACAGCTTTCTATGAGAGATAGGAGACTTTTGTTTACAATATAGAAAGTTGGAAAAAGTATTGTTTCCTCTCTAACAAGAAAAAACAAAGTAAGCTAAAAAATTACAACTTTTCTGTGCCTATCAGATTATCAGAGAGATATAAGACAATCAATCAGGTACCCTGAAACTCAAGATGGGAATGGCCCCTCTTAAGGAGAGACAGGATACACAGACTCCCCCCACCTATGGTAGGTCAGTGGAGAAAAGGACAACCACCATACAAGTGAGAAAGAAAAAAATCTACCATTCTTAAAGGGTTGCTATCACCTTAGTGCGTGCTAAGTACAACAGTATATAACTCCTAGTTGGAAGTCCCAGGCTCGGGTGGAATTTACACTCACCCTTATGTTCTTTTCCATGAACCTCCACTGGGTGTTCACGAGAATGACTGTGAGCTGGGTACGTGCTCAGCGAGAATCATGGAGGATGTTGCTGGTGTGAAGAAGGGGTTAGCCACTGCTGAGAAAGACATGAAGCCTCACTTTCTCCCTGTTTTGAATCCTTCTATCATATAGGCCAAACTTTTGTGACACTGGGCAAATGTCAGAAAATCCTGTCTCTGAAGGGAACAGAGAAAAAGTCATTGTTACTGCTGGAAGAGGTGAAGAAAAAGAAATTTTCTTTCCTTGGGAGAAGAAGAGCAGAAAATAGTCGTGCACCCAGAATCATATACCATTAGAAGTCTTCTGTTACTGGAAGAAGTGCAGAAAACACCCCTCAGCATCTGGCACATGGGATATACTGAGACTGTTTAGGACAAATGCAAAAGTCCTTTAACCTCCATTTACAGTTTAGCAAGAACTAAGTAACAGAGTTGTAGTATTACACTACTGGGTGATGGGGCAAGAACACAGAGAGAGATAGATCCCTTCTGTGCTGGAGGCATATACATATAACTGTGAGATGTGGATGTTACAGAAGCATTATGGAGGAAAATAAAACCCTTTGGGACTCTAGCACCATTGTGAGACCTATAGTACCACTAAAGGAATTTGAAACCTATGAGGCACAGACAGTAAATACCAAAACTCAAACCTAGCTCTTAAAGTCCTGTTTATATTGATTTAACCCCCCACAATAATGGCCTAATAGGAGGAGGAATATGGTCATTTCTAAGCAGAGATACAGTTTATTTCAGCCTCACCAGTTTTGCATAAAGATGTACTATAACCTTCATTCAAAAATACGAGACATAAGAAAACAAAATACCTCATTGTCCAGGCAAAATGAAATAAACAGAATCAGACTCAGAGATGTCCAGATGATTAGAATTATCAGAAACTTTAAAATACCACTTGCATGAATATATAGAGACTTTTAGCAGACAGATGAAAATTAGAGGACTCAAATAGAAATGCTTGAAATATGAAGCAGTTTTAGAACTGAGGAATTCCTTTTAGGGGCTCATCAGTATACTTGACAGCTCAGGAAACAATTAGTGAACTTGCAAATAGGTCAATATGAGTTATTCAGATGACATGCAAAGAAAACAAATGTTTAAGGCTGGATGTGTAACTCAGTGCTGTGTATGTGTGGGGCTCTGGGTTCGAGAGAGAGAGAGAACCCAAGATCTGTGGGACAATTTCAAACAGATTCAAAAAGAAGACTGAGCAAATAGGAAAAAAGAAGTATTTTAAGAGATAATGGCCATTTCTTAAAGGTCATTCAGGGGTACAACAGACAACATTCCCTCTGAGAATGGTATAGTATCCATTATAATCCTAGAATGTACCCCCCAAAATAAAGACATCACACCAGAGATTCATTTTGAGGACTCCATTACATATAAGCAATAACAAGAGCAGACAAATAAAAATACTCAATAAGATATCTTATTCAGACTGGGGAAAATGAAGGGTGAAGAGAATGTTTAGGAGGCATTCAGAAAAACAAGTATTATGCATAGGTATAATGATAAGGATTATAGATGACTTTTTGTCTGAAACTACGCAAGCCAGAGACAATTGAGTGAAATCGTCATAGTATTCAAAGAAAAAGTGTATAGATAGCAAAATAATTTCTCAAAATGAAGGCAAAATAAAATTTTAGCCAAACACAACCTGAAAAAGTTTGTTGAAGTATGTAGAATATTTTCACAGTAAGTATTATTAAGTGGTGGTAGTGCTAATACAATTACTACCAATACTATGACTGTGATTACAACTACTATGTTACTGTTATTACTTCAGGCACCACTAACTGTCTGTTTGCCAAAATAATTATACCTGGTATGACTGACTCTTGATACTTCTTTTTCAGCTCCACTGAAGTTGATGACATGATTCGTAAATCCACAAACCTGCTGCTGACTAGGACTCTGAGCAACTCTCTACAAAATGTGATTAAAAGGAAGAATATTGGGCTTACTGAGGTAAAGCTGCTCTTAATGTAGCCAAGCCAATATGTGAACAGATGTCCTAAATTCTGGGTCTTATGTGTGAATTAATTATAACTTTCTGCATGGTCTGTCATGTTCTTTCTGATGGCCTCCTCATGGTGAAGTTGCATAATGAAACATATAGTTATTTTTTAAATAACTTTTGAGAAATCCATTATTTTTTTAAAGTCACTTATTTTCCCCTCTTGCATTGTTTTCAGCAGGTTAAGTGATTTTTTTTCTTATGTTCTTGGGATGGATTTGAATTATTTGTCACTGATCACATTTAAAAAAAAAGTTTGGTTGGAGAATATCACTCAACATCAGATACCTATCCAAATGAATGGTAGTCCTTTTACAGCATAGCTTATAAAATCACATTTCTTCTGCATTGGTTATTGAGACCAAGGATATTGGCACTCATAGTCTTAAGTCAGTGTTAGACTCAGCTTTTGTTTTTGCAATATCTCATGTATACGAATGGTAAATTAGTCTATCAGCAAGTAATCTGTTTGGCAAAGGCCTTGGGATTTGGGATTGAGGAAACATAAGAGGAATGCAATAGTTCATACAATCTTTTAATGGAGAAGAAATATTGTACTTATTTTGGGAATAGTATAAACTGAAGATTTGGCCCATTGATTTGTAGTCCTAAGATTTAGAAAGATAGGAAGTTTCTTTTCTCTTGGAAACTTGTGTGGTAGCCTACACCTGTCATTCATTGAAGTTATAGGGCCAAAAGTGAGAGCTTAGAGGAATAGGAATGTTTTTTCCCACAGTAAAGGGAAAGGCTGTTGGCCATCTGTTTTACCTATAGAGGTAGTGTAGTTTCAATGTCAGTTGCTTTAGGAAAAGTTGACATTTAAAAATATATACTGTCAAAGATTACATTGAAATTCAGAAAATGGTTAATGATACTGACTTATAGGTAAAGACAGCTGGAAACCAGGTGAGCATCTACTTCTGATTTCGAAGTGACTTTTTCTTTCTATGCATTAAGATTAAAAAATATTATGAGGTGGGACATTAGCAGGAATTGAGTTCTACTTATAAGAAACTTTGAAAAAATTGAATATGGATATGATGGAATATGATGTTTCCTGGTATAGAAATATTGGATAGTGCCATTACACTATTTTTCTTTTCTGAATCCCAATGAGAACAGATATTTATAACTTACTTTGTGAACTGTCTCTTCATTATAACTCTTTTTCCCCCTGTTATGCTAAAGAACCAACCCAGGGCCTTGTGCATATTAGGCAAGCTTTCTGCCACTAAGTTACACCCTTAGCCCTATAATTCTTCTCATGCTATTCCATTTTTCATTCTCTTAAAAACTGAAAACAAGCAGCCTAGCATGGACATGATGTGCTAGAAATAGCTTTGCTTTCAGAAGGCTTGAATTCAGCTGTGGCTCTGCCACTGGTTTACTGTTGAACTTAAGAAAAAGGCCTGAATTCTTAGTTTGAGTTTTCTTTTTTTTTTTTTTTTTTAATTCATATGTGCATACAATGTTTGGGTCATTTCTCCCCTTCCCCCTGCCCCCTCCCTTATCGCCAATACCTCCCCCCCTTCTCTCCCTTGCCCCCTTACCCCTCGCTACCAGCAGAAACTATTCTGCCTTATCTCTAATTTTGTTGGAGAGAGAGTATAAGCAATAATAGAAGGACAAGGGTTTTTGCTAGTTGAGGTAAGGATAGCTATACAGAGAGTTGACTCGCATTGCTTTCCTGTACACGTGTGTTAACTTCCAAGTTAATTCTTTTTGATCTCACCTTTTCTCTAGTTCCTGGTCCCCTTTTCCTATTGGCCTCAGTTGCTTTTAAGGTATCTGCTTTAGTTTCTCTGTGTTGAGGGCAACAAATACTAGCTAATTTTTTAGGTGTCTTACCTATCCTCATCCCTCCCTTGTGTGCTCTCGCTTTTATCATGTGCTCAAAGTCCAATCCCCTTGTTGTGTTTGCCCTTGATCTTAATGTCCACAAATGAGGGAGACCATACGATTTTTGGTCTTTTGGGCCAGGCTAACCTCACTCAGAATGATGTTCTCAATTCCATCCATTTACCACGAATGATAATATTTCGTTCTTCTTCATGGCTGCATGCTGGTGGGAATGTAAACTAGTATAACCACTCTGGAAAAAAATTTGGAAGGTACTTAAAAATCTAAACTTTGATCTAGCATCTGATCCAGCACACAGGTTACTCCAGGGGCACCTGCACACCCATGTTTATTGCAGCATGTTTATTGGCTATTCACAATAGCCAAGTTATGGAAATAGCCAAGATGCCCCACCACTGACAAATGGATTAAGAAAATGTGGCATTTATACACAATTTGAGTTTTCTTGACCGCATTGTCCTTTACAAGGGCACTGTAGAAATCAGGTGGTAATTGGAAGAACCAGTTGAAACTTATCAAAGAAAAACCCAATTTAATTCTTAGCACTCTATTATAGAATGCTGAATGTTGTTCCTAAATCATTGGAGGTTTTTAGGCAAATGTACTTTCATCATCAGTGTCTTTGGATCTGAATGAAGGAACATTCACATACATTTATTTCTTTTGGCTATTATGATGTGTGCTTGTGTAGACACATAAAGTGATTTTTTTCCCTTACCAACCCGAAAATCTTTGAATGGTTATACTACTCATCTCTGGAAAGAGCTGACATTATATTCTTAATAAGAAACTAAAGTGAGTTCACATCTGGAATAATCATCATAATAGGTAACATTTGTGGAACAGTGTATATTCTTCAAAGCCCACTCACAAATATAAGTTCATTTAATACAGTAACATTTGAAGCAGGCTTGGCATGTGTTATTATTTCCATTTTATAGAAATCATAATTAAAGTTCAGGGAGATTGCCCAAGGTCATATAGCTAGCAAAATAATAGAAATGAGACATATATCTAAGTTGTTTTTCCAATCCTAGTCACTTTAAATGTATTATACTGCTTTTCATCTTGATTTAATTATTTTATCCTAACAATGATAGAGAGTTTATAGGAGTTCATAGTAAAATGGAAATTGTTCTAGTCTTAACTTTTTTTGTTGCTTGGTTTTGACCTCATAGTTGCTAGGCAGGTGCTCTTGAGCTACTCCACCAGCCTGGAAATTGTCTAATTATCAGTGGTTGGTGTTTCAGAAGAAGAAATCTATTTAGTAATGAATTATTATAAGCATACAAAACTCATATAGTCCTATTTCAGGATCTTAGATAATTCTTCTCTGAGATTTAAACATTCCTAAAGGTAACATTTGTCCATCTGTCTGCCTATTATGTTTTTAGGTTACATGTTCTTTTCTTTTTTCTGTCTGAGATGCTATCCTTTTCCTTTTCCCTGTTCACATTGGCTTTCTTTGTTTCTTCCTTTTTTTTCTTCATGGCTCTTTGCTTCTCCATATTGAGCAAATTTCAACATTACCTTTCAGTTGTAGCACCTCCTAGGACTTGTTCTATGTGACTCTTTTTTGTTCACTCAGCATATAAAACTAAATTTTCTCCGGCTGCTTCTTCCAAGTTTAAGGAATGGCAGTTGAGTACTGTTTGTGAGGTGTATATCTAATACAGACTGTGTAGCTTCTAATACTGGCTGTCCCTGATTAGCTGCGCCCTTGCGGAATTACTGGCTTTCTGTGTAAAATGGGACGAGTAGTATGTATTTTCATAGGATTGTTTGAGAATTAAACAAGTCTGAGGAGGACAAACAGTGGCTAATCAAAAGATTAAAACAAGGTGTCTTATTAAGATATAGCAATTTATTCCATATCAGTAAAATTTTTCAGGGACTTGGTATATATTACACTGAAACTTTATTCTCTATATTGTTATATATACTTAATTATTTGGAATATATTTCCTATTCCTTTAGTTAATGATAATGTTAATTCTCAGTTTAAGATAAAGAAATATAGTAAATATGAATAACATTAGCCCACACAACCAGTAAGTTTTAAATAAGCTTTGAGATATGTGGAAATAAGTTTCTTTTACAATATGTTTTGAGATAAGATTTTAGAATTCTAAACCTTTGCTCCTTTCACTCAACCTTAATTTTATAATTTTTTTACTTCATATTAAACCTGAAATTTGAAGCAAGTAGTTACATATGTCTTGTGATCATAGGGTTAGTCTTGGGGATGGTAAAATGAGTATCAGCACAGGTTTGTTCCTGAATTTGGTGAAAAGGAGACAGTACCTGAAGAGAGATAACTTCATTTTTTGTGAATGAGAACCAGGTTGCTAATTTAGTTCATTGTCTCCTTGCAACATCCTAACAGTTTGGAGGCATTGGTAGTTTGTGACCTCTCACTTTTCTTGCTTGGGATAGTCCTCTTAAAGTGTACTGAACTCTGGCCTTTTGAAAGCAAGCTAAAAGCAGATTCCAATATAAGTAGATGCATTATGGTACTTTCCGAGTTAGGAAAGAGTAATAGTAATAACCCAGTAAGAATTTAGGCCTAGTTTTCAACTAATTGAAGATGATGAAGAATATTTTCTTTTCTACAGAGTTTTTCAAAGAATTAAAACATCTTCACCATGGCTCAGGCTCCAAGCGTGTGTTTGGAGCAAGGGTTGAGAAGAAATGATCTGCACAGGTTCCTCCTCTATGTCTTTCTTCTTAGATTATTTCTCTGAAGTCCAAAAGGAGAGAGAACTTTTGTTTTTTCCCTGATTCCTAATGTTTTATTTACGTGACTTCTGTCCATTTAGTTGTCATTTGGTTGATTGCTTCCACAAAATAATTTTTTTTCTTGATAGTTCTCATGGACTTTTAAGAATGATAACCAGATGTAGTTCTGTGTCCTTGAAACAATGTGAAGGAATGGTTGGATTGAAAAATTGGGCGGTGACAAAATATCAAAGGAACTCCAACGCTGATGAGTTGATAAGTGAAAATTGCTTCAAAAATATTCATCCTTAATTCAAAATTACACCCAAAGCATCCTGCTTTGGCCATTTGCAAATGCCTATGTAAGAATTTG